CATAACCCCACCAAGGGATTTCCAGGAACAATCTGCCGTTTTCGAGCAATCGTTACCTACATTTACACCCCTCCCGCATGCCAGTACGAAAATTAAAGTGGTGGGGGATATAAAACGGGACCGCAGGTCCCACTCTAACTTCGATGCGGTGAATGAGGGGGTATCACATCATAACCCCACCAAGGGATTTCCAGGAACAATCTGCCGTTTTCGAGCAATCGTTACCTACATTTACACCCCTCCCGCATACCAGTACGAAAATGAGGAAAATTAAAGTGGTGGGGGGTATTAAAAGGGACCTCCGGTCCCACTCTAACTTCGTTGTGGTGAAAATTATAAAAAGGTTAGCAATAATTATCTACATTTACACCCCTTGCGCAGACCAGTAGGCCTGTTAAAATGAGTGAAAACTAAAAAAGGTGGGGAAAATGTGAGCTGCGGTCCCTATCTAGGCCTAACCTTGATAATAATAATGAGGGGATAACATCATAGGCCTAAGTGATTTTTAGGAACTATCTGTCGTTTTCGAACAATATTGTTCCCAACTCCCCTCCGATTGTCCCGTCCCCTTCCCCTTATCTCGCCATCCACTAATTTTCATACTATTAATGTTACCCATCCACCCACCCCCACACCTTCTATTCCCTCAGCAGTGGTCAATAAAACTGTGCTTCGCCGCCTCACCCACGGTGAAGTAAATAGTGAAGCTGCAGTCCAACGCGATCGTATCTTATCTGGATTGTTGGCTAGAATTGTGGGCTGGCTTGTTGTTGGCTGGCTTATTGTTGGCTAACTTGACTCAAGTCATTACGGACTTTACGCAATAGGACGGAAAGACGGGTGGACGGTGGTTTTGTGCTCACCGGAGCGTGAAAACATAAACAGACGACAGTAAACAATTCGGCAGTTACGCATCGTCGACGACGACGACGCAGAAGACATGATGGCCTGTTTACGCGAAGCAAGAGAGGCAATATGTTTTGCCTATGATGGAGGTTTGATCGACGAAGAGGAGTTCATCTTACTATATGAATTTAATCAATCAAATAATTTAGATTTAATACCATATTTTAATTATGATGCATTTGATTTAGATGTTTGTACTGAAGATGAATGCAAGGCGTATTTCAGGTAGGTATACCGGTACTGCGGTAGCAGTAGCCTAGGGCCTAGGCAAGGCCTAAAATAATTATAACTCCATTGCATAGCTAGGGCTACAGTAGAACCCCTATTATTATTATTATTATTGTTATTATTATTATTATTATTATTATTATTATTATTATTATTATTATTATTATTATTATTATTATTAAGGGGACAACTTTGTTGAGACTTGAAAAAAGTTTCCACTTAAAAGGGGTGTCCTCTGAATAGTGGTTGGCTGTGGGGTTAAAACGTTACACTACAGGTATGAATAATAATTTTTCAAATATTATCCTACTGGCTATGGGACAGTGGGTTAATTTAGTAGGCCTATTTTGTTTATAATATCCTTCTTATCCGACAACAATAACTCATCAATTAAAGGATGAAATGATGTTTTTATGAACCAAAACCTTGTACCATACGTTAAACTAACGTAATTATATTTAACTTAATAAGTGTATTGTTAAATAAGTTATTCCTATAGGTAATGGGGTAAATTACACTTTTACTTAATATACTGTGTATACAGTATATGTATCTTGAATTTTCATTTTTCTCATTTCAGATTTTTAAAAAAATGACATTCACCAGTTGATAGATGCACTTCAAATATCAAAAGTAATCAGGTGCCCAAACAGAATAAAAGGCGATGGCGTTGAAGGCCTGTGTATAATGCTGAAGAGATTCGCATACCCGTGCAGATATGAAGATATGATAGCCAATTTTGGAAGGCCAATACCACAGTTATGTATGATTTCTAACCATATGATCAACCATGTGTTTGACCGTTACAAACATCTGTTTAGCACATTTGATCAGATATGGCTCTCTCCAGACAACTTGCAAATATTTGCAAACGCCATCCACGCTGAAGGGACTGCATTAACAAATTGTTTTGGTTTTGTTGTTGGAACCGTTCGCCCCATTTGTAGACCTTCTGAGCATCAAAGAGTGGTATACAATTGACATAAGCGGGTACACAGCATAACATTTCAATCAGTTGTCGCACCCAATGGCCTAATCATTAATTTATTTGGACCAGTGAAAGGCATGACTCATACATGCTGCGGGAATCTGAGTTACTGTCAGAATTAGAATGATACGCATATGATCCGTATGGAAGTCCTTTATGCATTTATGGGGATCCTGCCTACCCTTTGAGGGCCCAACTGCAAGCACCGTTCAAAGGAAACAATATCACCCCTAAAAAAATCAATGAGTAAAGTTCGTCAGTGGACATCAGTGGAGTGGCTATTTGGAGATGTTGTCAACTACTGGAAATTTGTAGATTTCAAAAAAACCCAGAAAATTGGACTGAGTGCAGTTGGAAAAATGTACACCGTATGTGGTCTTCTAACAAATGCACATACCTGCCTTCATAGTAACATTACGTCACAATATTTCGAGCTAAATCCTCCAGATTTGCATCACTAATTCCAATAATTTATTATGCAAGACACTATTTAAAAATGTTATAGCATTAAACTATTTAAATACTTGTATAGTGCCTCGAGTATGCAGGAGTAATAATTATTAAATGCACAAGGCAACATACAGTAACGTAACGTTCAATATTTTGAGCTAAATATCATTTACGCCGCACTCCAAATTAATTCTCTAAACGGGGTGTTTATTTAAATAAATACGATATGGATTGTATGTAAAATTTAAGTATTATTTGATAATATAGGTATTTTGTATTTGTTCCTAATTGATGAAACACTGTAAATATTAAAAACACTTAACTAAGTGAAAATTGTTATGCATTTGTTCAGCAAACTGAAAATGTATGTACATTATTTGATCAAAATGCTAATTCAATCTAAATAAATAATAAATATATTTATCATATGTGTAATATTTATATAATACATTGGAAGTTATAGAAAAGTAAATTACATAATTATTTATATAATACATAGAACTGTTTTTGTCATGTTATTGAATTGATTTATAGCTTAAATATTCTCGGAATCTCTTAAATTGCATGTTCGAATGAGTTTGGCAATACCTTTTTATACGTTGTTTAGCGAATCTGCTATCTGCAAATATTGATGATTTGTAATAAAAATAAAATATTATTATTGGCCAATTAGCGCACCCACCACCACAACAATTTGAAATTTAAGAAACAGATATGCTGAGTAAGAAAACAAAATATTATTTTTATTCCGCCCTTCTCTGATGATGTTTTAAATGATAAGTTCGCAAAACAAGGAATAAAAAAAAAGTCTCAAACAATAAACTCGACTATATATATATATATATAAATAAAATGAAGTTAAAAAAAATAATTGGCCTACATTTGGATCTGTGTTTTGCTATCTATATGCATTATCAAGACCTTATAGAACAGCAACAAGTATTTGTTAAAATGGGGGTGTCTTACATATCCGACATACACAAATCTTCCAAAAAACATTCTCAAACTCGGGAGACGCCTTATACGCGAGTATTATATATTAACTATTTTAAATTTGTTGAGTAACAATCACATACAATAAAGTTGTTTGAACTATAATGACTTGGTTATTAAAGAATTATTTTTTAATACATTCCATTAACATAAACATCATCTGCTCATTCTGCTGATGCATTTGTTGCCTAGACAGTTCCATCTGCTGTTGCAACAAATCAGCTATGTGTTGTTGTTTCATTTCTTTACTCTTTTCTTCCATTTCTTCTCTTCTGTACTCAATCTCCTTCTCTGCTCTCTCTTTTAAATATGTTATGGTTTCCCCTCCACTTTTTTCTACTTCCTTCTCCACCAGTTTTATCTACCCTGTAGCAAATGAATAGAATATGATTTTATTACAGTGTTCTTTATGTGGGTTGATTAGACTAAATTTCATTTCAGTTTTTTTTTTTTAACAGGTGTCTAACCTTTTTTTTGTTTCTCTAAAGGTTTCGAGACTCCATTTCCTCATTTCATTTCCATCACTAACCTTCTTGGCTTCTTCCTTTTCCTCTTTGGTGGCTTCCACATCTCTTTCCTTATTAATTAAGTCTTCAATCAACTTAACTCCTTCTGTGTGCTCTGGACTTACTCCACTACTAAGCCTTTTTTTCCTTATTTTGTTTTTAAGACCTTTATATTTTAAAATGTTCCAGCGGTCCCTAATTGCTCTAGCATCTCCTTGGAAATTCATTGCAGGGCACCTTTGAAGTTCTGCCGCAATTTCCTTCCATACATTACCCCTTTGTTGGGTCCTCGCTTTAAATTGAAATGGGTCTCGTACCATAATCTTCCTCAACATAATGATATCCTTCTCATCATTCCATTTCATCGTAATTCTGAAAAATAAGCATATGCTGTGTCACACAAATACAAATTAAATACCAATAAGTCTAGATGTCTTCTAATGTTCATCATTTGCCTATGCAGTCTGCCTTTTTTATTATTAATAATATTATTATTATTATTTATATTATTATTATATATATATCACTATTCAAATGACAAAAGGTACAGTAAGCCCAAACTAGGCTTACTGACTGTTTTACTAGACTATTACTACTACTACTACTACTACTACTACTACTACTACTGGCTAGCCTAGCTAGGCTAGTAGTACTAGCCTACTAGGCCTAGTGTACTACAGTAGTATAGCACTAATAGGTTTACTAGTAGAGGCCTTTCTTTATTATAATGGGAATGCACTAGGCCAGTTTAGTAGTTCAGTAGTAGGCTAGGTCTACTACTAGGTACATAGGTCAGCGGGGACAGTACTGAACCGCTTTGATAGGATAGGTAGGAGGCTACCCGAGCGCCAGCAGCAGTACGCATAAGCTTAGATTGGCCCAACGCCACTTTACCCTCCACTAATGCGGCGTTTTACTGTACTTTATATGTTGTTTTTGACAAACTAACTTTCAAAAAGAAGTAACATGTTATTTGTTGTTGCTGAAATTCCACTTTAAATTATTATTGCATACTGTACATTCAAAAAATACGTACTTTTGAGAAGCCATCTTCGCCTCCACAGTCGACGGAAAACTCCAAACTTTCACGTTCTAGAAAAGTTAGGACGGCGGCTGTAAGAGCAATCAGGCATGCGCAGAGTGAAAGTGGGCGGGGCTTAACTCCAATTGCCGTCGTCCCACGGCTCCCCGTCCTGTTGCGTAAAGTCCTTAATCCCGTTCTTTAGGACAGGACCAGTCTAATTGTACCTGGTAAATTGCAAGATCAGAAAGAAATGATTATGATGCATTTTCACAGTGGAGGATCAAAGGGAAGAGGATGTTCTCATAAATCCCTCCTGCAGGAGTAAATATTCCAGCCGTCAGAATATACCATTCAAGAGACACAACATTTATTGTCATAATAAAATATGCAGATTCGCGCAGTGTTAAAGAATACAAAGTACGCGATGATATGTCGTTGTCGTGTCGTAATCGTGTCTAGTGTAATGCGGCTACAGAACGAGAAGGGGGAGGGGGAGGGCGTACAACAGTTTTTTTTTCAGAATAGATAATTGAAGAGAACATCTTGATATATGCATTGAAATTTTCAAAAGCAGCCAAACAGGGGCACATTTCCACTTACTGAATCCGCCCGTGATACAAAAGCCATATATGTGAAATGCGTGAATATGTTATTGGTCCCTCATAAAACGCTTGAAATAAAATGCACTGTTTAGTACGGTACTTGATCTTTCATCATGATCCTTGTTGACTGGCATCGGTGGGCGATGATGGCAGTTAAATTTCCACTTGCAGAATATGAAAACACGTCAACATTGTATAAATGTTTGCTATTAAAGCAAGTACAGACCAAAGCCTTGGGTTCAGGGGAAGACTGGGCCCCTTGCATAGTAATCGATTGCAGGTGTCAGAAAAGTTGTGGTCGAGGGGGCCTATTACAGTGGAATATCAGTACGGTAACCTGCAGTTACTGTACTACAATTTGATTCGAGTTCTGTAAGAAGTTGGGTAGCCTATTACTTCCTTATTTCGAACTTTAAATGTCAGTTTGTACCGTGGAACACCTCGTTTGGGCATTGATATTGTATATAAACGTGATTCCACATAGGACAACATTTGTGAACTGAAAACCTAGGGTTACATGGTTTTAATTTACTATTGGATGTCATCTACAGAGAACGTAATGACAAGGCTCTGTTAGAGTACGGTAATGCTATTAGTAGAAGAGGTTGGGGCCCGGCCCCTTGATTCAGGAACCGGGGTTGCCCCAGTGCCGACAAAATCGATTATTGTTTGACATGCCAGACTGCTATTGCAGACAAAAGTATGATAACAAAACGACCCAATTGGACTGCTATTCAATCTTTATTCATGAATGAATGCATAAAATATGAATAATTAAAAAAATGCAAAATATTATAATTGAAGCTTTTTGGCCTTTTCATTCGGCTGTTATGTGTTGGATGTGGCCGGATCATACCTCCAAATATGATTATACTCACCAGGAAGCAGACGTTGTCGAGTCTCAGCCTTTTATCAAACAAACGGCAATACTGTATACTGCTGTCAGAGAGGTTCTACAAATACGTTATTATAATAAATATTCTGAAGATAACCTAACAGTGAATAACTTGAACCCCAAGTATAGATAGAATCTGCTAATAAGTTCAGTATGTCGAAAATACATTTTTACTCCCCAACGAAATGTGATTTTTCTCTCTGCACTAAAGATACCGTAAAGCATACCAACATCCAGTGAAGCCATTTAAATGATCGACCTCATCTGACAACACCAGTCTGGGATATTGCCCTCATCAAAGATATGCCGTACCGGTGTACCTTCCGACTCGTGCGCATGTAAAGTTAAGAATGTAGTTCAGTGCACTAGATGGGAATTTGTCGTGGGAAATTTTCTCATCGTTCTGCTACTACAGATGGCATAGTATTTCCAAAATATGGCAGCGGAGGTTTCTACAAGAAGTGCAAAAGAATCATTTGGCGTTAACATTATGTTATAATGAATCAGACAAAAACCGAAAGGTCCACTGATTAATCTCAGATAAGAAAGTATAATACATACTCCAAGTATTGAAATACACGCCATCGTGTTGGGATTCAATAATTCGACATTAATTATGTCATTATGTATTATATTTTCGAATCAGACAAGATGGGCCTATTCAGAGGTAAACAATAGGTGCTTGGAACGAATAATACGGCCAAGTAATGACTTTTAATTGTATTGAAGAGTTGATTCCATTGTTAAGCGATGGGTGTAGCCATAGTGAACAATGGGAGTTCTGTAAACGCCTTTTATCCATTGTTAGATTTAAATGCTAGCTTTTACAAGATAAATAATAATGTTATTCCATTGTTTATGATTAGGCCTAAGCGTAGGGCCACATTCCATAAAAATTACACATAGGCCTGTTGCGCGACAAAAACAAAATCCCACCGGGATACAATAGCCTGGTTCACGTCGAACTTTATCTAGATATACCCGTCTTGAACCATGATACGATAATCCCCTAATTGCGTTCGATGCCAAGTTAGATCCAGATAAACAGCCAGCCAGTTTCAGGCCGTCGACGTCACACGGTGGAAAGGCTTGTTTAATAAAACATCTACTGTATTTTACGAACCTCTAGTACCAAGTGGTATTCGTTCAAAAAAAATTGTAAACTACTGTAGAGAAGGTGTGAGTTTCCACTACTTAACCTAGCCGATCAGTACGAACCAACGACAGTGCAGCAGCGTGTTCTATCGCAATCTAAGTAGTAGATTCTCTAGACCCTAGCTAAATTTATCTTCGATAAAAAACGAATTATTTTAATCGCTAGCTAGCATTCTTCCATTTAACAAAATATTGTTTTATTTTTCACTAAAACGTCTGTATATACTTTTTGGACCTTTCTGTCCTGTTTTGTAGTTTTTAGATCGCTCAAATGTGTTGTTTACATGCACTTCCCGTAAATTTAGCTTCGCGGTGTCAAATAAGTTGCTGACTTCCACACACATTCTTATTTCGTCATCGTAAACATGTGCGCTCATTTTAACGACTGGCGTTGGTGGTAGGTCGTTGAAACTGAATTAATAGCGACTATCATAGCAGAACTGGAAAAGATTGAATTGTCAATTAATAAATACAACAAATCTGATTTTTGTTATTAAGAAAAATATACATTATCACTTTGAAAAACGTACGCAATCGGACTTTTTAACGTTATTACTTGGTCGATGATGCAAAGGTCATTGGTAATATCGACTATTCGTAAAACGGACATTTGCTGGGTTTTTACCCATAATATTACAAATAATTTCTGAAAACCAGACTAATGAGACTACTTCGATGCTGTTGTTAGCATTGTTGGAATACGTTGTTGCCAGCCAGAAGATGATAATGGTGGTACAATACAACAACAATGGCTTAGATGCCTACGTTACGTAATCGTGTCCTTGTAATCCGAGCCGACTTTACCGTTAAGCAAATTAAAAAAAAAAAATTGTTGACACCACCGGATTTTTAAAAAATCATTGGTGCGTTTTCTAACGTCCTTGAACAGGCGCTAACCGGATAATTGACTTATGGATTACGTCGCGGGGTAAGTTAGGTTGTTCCTGGCTACCGTGCGTAGTGCGGTGATGGTGACTTAACGGGCTCGTAGCAAGGACGTAGCCAGGATTTTGAAAGGGGGGGGGGGGAGCCGTTATGCGAATTACGTATGACCCCGGCCGGTTCAAGGGGGCGAATCCCCCTGTGAAGTAGCGCACTCTGAACGTTCTTAGGACTGTTTAAGAGGATAAAGTGAAAATTGCAATAGACGCATTATAAATAAGCGAAAACATAATTATATAATAAATCAACAGTTGCAGATCCAGGAATTCGAAAGAGAGGTGAACCAGGGAGGGACTTTCACAGACCAAGAAACAACCCACCCCAGCCCCACCATGGTTGGGGCTGAGATAAGAAAATTTAAGATTAGGGCATCTCTAGATGGCCGGAAATTACACTTTCGCACTTCAATTTGAATATATTTTTCCTTTTTTTCCTTAAAAAAATGAAGGGGGAGGGGCGTGCCTTGAATCCACCTCTGCTCAAAACATTCTTTATCCAGAATAGTCATAATCACAAAAAATGGACATGAAAAACCAGATCACATCCTAAAAACAAACAGCAGTCACTAAGACATACATCAGAAGCCGACTCGATGGAGTTTAATGTTATACCCAGGGAAGGGCACAGATCTGTTTTGAAAGGTGGAGGGGGAGGGCATTTTGTAAGTCGACACCCACCCCAGCCACACAATGGTTGGAGCTGAAGTGAGAAAATTTGAGGACACTTTTAGTAAAATTCATCATCATCACATCACCATTATTTAAAATAAAGCGCCAAAAGAAATTCAAATGATCTTTTTTTAGGGATTTTTGACAAACATAGAGATCTTATTAATGTGTGTGTATACACCATAGAAAACAAAGCTTAAAAACATCTCTTTGAGTATGTACTTTACATAGGCCTACTTCAAAAACGTGATTTCACAACCACCTGAGCCCCACCATGGCTGGGGCTGAGGTGACAAAATTTGAGGAAATAGTACCTCTCGAGATGGCCGGAAATGACACTTTTATATAATAAAATTCATCATCATCACATTACCATTATAGTCAAAATGAAACGTCAACAAATTTTTCATGATCTTTTATCAGGAATCTACTTAATATCCAGGACAACTTAAGCCTAATTATAGCTTACTAAGTTTTAACTATATATACTATAGTATGATCAACAAATCACAACTTTTTTTTCGCATTTAGCACAATTATCTTCACTTTTTTTTTATTGCTATTAATATTATCAATTATTACTATCGTCATTATCATCATTGTTATTATTATTATTACTATTAGTAGTAGTAGTATTATCAAACAAACATGATCTTTTATCAGGGATTTTTGACAACCATAGAGATCTTATTTTTATTAATGTGTGTGTGATATACCATAGAAAAAAAAAACATAGAAAAAAGGCTTAAAAACATTGTCTTTGAGTATGTACTTTACATAGGGCTACTTCAAAAACGTGAATTCACAACCACCTAAGCCCCAACATGGATGGGGCTGAGGTGAGAAAATATGAGGAAATAGTGCCTCTCGAAATGGCCGGAAATGACACTTTTATATAGTAACAACTTAGGCCTCATTATAGCTTACTAAGCTTTAACTATATATACTATTATTATAATCAACAAATCACAACTTTTTTTCGCATTA